AACAAGGCAAGGATGTCCACACTCACCAACTTCTGTTCAACATGGTACTGGAAGTATCTCACCAGAGCAATTAAACAAGAAAAAGAAATAAAAGGCAGCCATACTAGAAAGGAAGAAGAGAAATTTTCTGTTTGCAGATGACATGATCTTATAGTCAGAAAGCTCTCAAGAGTCCACAAAAAAAAAAAAATTCAAACAAATGAATTCAGCAAAGGTGCAGGATTAAAAATCATCATCATCATCCCTAAGCAAACATCAATCATATTTCTATATACCAACAACAAACAATCTGAGAGAGAAATTAAGAAAATAATCCCATTATAATATCATTAGGAGAATAAAATATTTAGAAGTAAACTTAACCAAGAAGGCAAAAGACCTTTACATTGAAAACTACAAACACTGTGGAATGAAACAAAAGACACAAATAAATGGAGATATTCCATGTTCGTGGACTGGAACACTTAATATTGTTCAAATGTCCATACTACCCAAAGTGATCAAAAGCTTCCATGGAATTTCTATCAAAATCCACTGTCATTTTTTGCAGAAATAGAGAAAAGCATTCTATAATCCATATGGAAATTCCTGGGCCCCTGAATTGCCAAAACAATCCTGGAACAGAAGAACAAAGTTGGAGGCTTCATACTTCCTGATTTCAAAACATGTTACAAAGATACGGTAAATCAAAACAGTGTGGTGCTGGCATAAAGACAGCCACATAGACCAACAGAACAGAATAGACAGCCCAGAAATAAACTCTCACATATATGGTCAATCAGTCTTCAACAAGGATGCCAAGGCTACACAATGGGGAAAAGACAGTCTTTCGACAAATGGTATGAAAACTGGATATCCAAACACAAAAGAATAAAGCTGGGCCTTTACACCATATACGAAAATTAATTCAAAATAAATGGAAAACTTAAATATAACACCAAAACTAAAAATTCCTAGAAGAAAATATAAGAGGAAAGTTTCACGACATCGAATTTTGCAAGGATTTCTTGGATATGCCATCAAAAGCACAGGCAACAAAAGCAAAACAAAGGAGGTTACATCAAACTTAAAAACCTCTGCACATCAAAGGAAACAATGAACAGAATGAAAAAGAAACCTATGGAACAGGAGAAAATAGCTGCAAATCATGTATCTGATAAGGGGTTAATATCCATCCAGAATATCATAAAGGGCCCACAACTTAACAATTAAAAAACAAGCAACCTGATTAAAAAATGGGCAAAGGACCTAAACAGACACTCTGCCAAAGATATGCAAAACAGTCAACAAACATATGAAAAGATGCTCAACATCACTATTTGTTAGAGAAATTCAAATCAAAACCACAATGCAATGCCACCTCACATCCATTAGCATGGCCACTATCACAAAATAGAAAATAACAAGTGTTGGCAAGAATGTGAAGAAATTGGAACCCTGTGCGACCTCTTTAGAAAACAGTATGGAAACTCCTCAAAAAACTAAAACCAGAATTACCAAATGATCCAGCAATTTCACTTTTGGATAGATATCCAAAAGACTTGAAACCAGGATCTTAAAGAGTTATCTGCACACAAATGTTCACTGTAGCATTATTCACAAAAGCCAGAAGATGAAAGCAGCCCAAATATCCATCAATAAATGAATGAATGAAAATGCAGTATATACTATATATATACATATATATGTACATATATATACATACATACAGTGGATATTATTCACCCTTGAAAAGGAAATCTTGTTATATGCTATAATACAGATGAACCAGTCATCAAAAACAAAAACAAAAAAACAAACAAAACCCAAATACTATATGATTTTACTTACGAGATATCTAGAGTAGTCAAATCATAGAAACAAAAAGTAGCTGAGTGCTGAGGGGAGAGGAAATGGGAGATGTTCGATGGTAGTGGAGCTTCAGTTTTGCAAGATGAAAAACACCTAAAGATCTATTACGCAGTGTTAATATAGTTAATACTTCTGAATTGTGAAGTTAAAAATGATACATTTTAGGTTATGTGTTTGTAGCACAATTAAAACAATTTTAAGAATTTAATTTAAAAAATTAAAATGTAGAATGTAATCTAAAATTTTACTCAACTACATCATTGATTTTTCAGAAAAGCTAAGAAATATCTTTACATTTCTTTTATAGTAAGAACTAGAAAGGATATAAGTTAGAGATATCAGTCATAAGGCAGTAACAGACTAGATTATAAATGTGGACTTAATAGCAAACTGCCTATGAGGGTTTTGTGTTCTCTTAAAAATTAAAATAGAAAATGTTTTAAGACAAACCTGCATGGTGGGGTTTGTTTTTAACTGGTTAATATCAGAGGATCAAGGAGCAAATCTAAATAGAAGAAAAGCATTATTATTGTTTCCTTATTTATTTTAATAAGGGGGGAGAACTAAAGTTTTAAACTTTCATTCTATATCTCTCCTGTTTTTAAAACCTAGCATGACACTGATGTAAAATTATATTGGATACTATAATTAAAGGGAATTAGGACATTAATGAACAAATTCTTGAGATTTCTAGAAATCTCTCTCACAAAAGAAAATATTAACAAGAATGGGTAGAAAGATGTTCCAGTTTGGGCATGTAAAGGTGGCCTTACCCAAAAGCTAATTAAGGATGGAACAAAATTTGAAAGCTTGAAGACCACCTCAATATTTTTCTTCAAGCACCACATACCCTAATTGTTCAAATTAATCTTTTCTAATCTTTAGGAATTATACAGTATTTATTGTTTCCATAATACTTATAGCTATCCATAACAAACCCTTCAGGGATTGTACTATTTTCATCTTCATTCCTTAAAGTTTGTCTCTGTCTCTGTCTGTCACTTTTGAATAAATAAACAAGAACTAGAATTAGTTTTGAAAACAAAACAGACATACATAAACACTGGAAAGTATATGCTGGGGCAGCATGCTGCTTGGTTCAAACATAAGAATAAAAGTGGAAATTCACACTGTACAAAAACAAAGGAAAAATTGCAAAGCCCTTTCTTTGGTTCAAGCACAGCAAATAAAAAAGGTTTGCATCGGGGCACCTAGGTGGCTCAGCCGCTTAAGTGTCTGCCTTTGGCTCAGGTCATGATCCCAGTGTCCTAGGATCAGGCCCCACATCGGGCTCCCTGCTCTGCAGGGGAGCCTCCTTCTCCCTCTCCCGCTCCCCCTGCTTGTGCTCCCCCTGCTTGTGCGCTACTGTCTGTCAAATAAATAAATAAAAGCTTTAAAAAAAAAAGTTTACATCAATTTTCTAAGAAATAAAATACCACAATTTTTATATTATGACAAACGAATGGGGGCGGCTTGGGTGGCTCAGTTGTTAAGCGTCTGCCTTCAGCTCAGGTCATGGTCCCAGGGTCCTGGGATCGAGTCCTGCATCGGGCTCCCTGCTAGGTGGAAAGCCTGCTTCTCCCTCTACCCATTCCCCCTGTTTGTGTTCCCTCTCTCGCTGTCTGTCAAATAAATAAATAAAATCTTAAAAAAAAAAAAAAAAACGAAGCTGAAAAAGTGTTCAGAATCAGGAAATTATATAATTGAAGAAGACTATAATAAAAAAATCTTTGGGAATGGCCAAAGGAAGGTTTGGTAAGATTAGTCTGTGTAGAACAAAGATAAAAACTGTCAGTTGCAGGGAGTCTGGGTCCTGGGATCGAGCCCCACGTCAGGCTCCCCACTTGGCAGAGACCTGTTTCTCCCTCTCCCTCTGCCTGCTGCTATGCCTACTTGTGCTCTCTATCACTGTCAAATAAATAAATAAAATCTTAAAAAAAAAAAAAAAGCTATCAGTTGCTCATGAAAAGAGAGCAACCAGAGCTTTAAAAGTTAAGTAAAAACAATACAAAGATGGAGAACAGATTAGCAGCTGCCAGGGGATAGGAATAGGTGGATGTGGGGGGAAATAAGGTAGGTTTAAACTGTAAAAAGGCAGCACTGAGGGAGTCCCTTCATAGTAATGAAATGGAACAGTTCTAGATCTTGAATGTGGTAGAGGTTACATAAATCCATACATGGGATCAAATTGCATAGAACTGCGCATGTGTGCACACACATATACACATAATGAATTCATATAAAATCTGGTGAGAAATGGTAAGGTCTACAGCCTACTTAACATAATTTATCAGTATCTTGATTTTAATACTGTACGGCAGTTATATAAGATTTCACCACTGCGGAAAGGTAGGTGAAAAGTTCACCGGAGTCTATGTACTACTCTTGCAACTTCCTGTACATCTATAATTATTTCAAAATAACTTTATTTAAGGTCAAGTAAAGAAGATGTCAAAATGAATGAAAACAGAAAAATCCAATGGTAATGATTACTACTGAAATAATTGTTACTGGCAATTAGTAAGTGCCAGACAATGGAGCTCTCAAGACAAAGAAATGTAACTTGCCCAAATAGAAAAAAAGTCAAGAGGAAATGAAAGAAATTAAACTAAAAACTATAATGCAATATACAAGTGCTATATTAAAAATATGTATTACAGAGTAACTAAGGAAACAACAAAAGCAAAAGGTAGACTATACATTGTAGTTTATGTTATGCTACAATGTTCGGACTTAATTATATCGGGTAAGCAAAGAAGAGAAGAGGGCTACTCCAGGGAATGGAACACTAACATACTTTGGAGGAAATAAGAGACTAGACTAAGACACTGGCAAGAATTTAAAAAGAAAAAAACATGGTAAGACAAATCCCAAAAAGGTAATTTTAAAAATGAAATGAAAATATAACTTCCAGAATGCCATAAAATAGATTAATATAAGTATTGATATATGGAAAACAGTAACTGAGGATTAGAAAAGGGTTAATAATTAATTCTAGAGCTGCAGCTCCAGAAAGAACACAGAAGTAGTACACAGTATGAAAGCAAATTTCAGACCTGTAATAAAGGAAGACTTTCTTCCTAACTCACCACTTCCTAAGATTACCACCTAGAGCTAAATATTAATTATGCAAGAATAGAAATCCTTACTTCTTGTCTTTTCTTAAGATCTTCTTTGGCTGCTCCAAAGCGTTTGGTTAACCTGGCTATCTTGGCCTAAAAAAAAAAAAAGAAAGCAAAAATGAAACAGAAATCAAGTAACATTATGGTACTAAAAAGGAACTCACGCATATATTACAAGAAACCCACAAATAAAAGGACCCTGAGATCACCAACAGCAAAGAAAATAAGGCAAGCTGATCATAAAATATATATTTGGAAAATACAGAAAATCATAATGAAAACTAAAATGACCTTTGAACTCAATACCCAGAGGTAAAGACTCTTAATTTTAGAAGGTTAGCTTTTTCCCTCCTAGAATTCACAGACCAAGACATTTCTGGGTATGTACAACTGTGGGGATTTTTGTTGTTATTTTTTAATATGTTGTAACCACACAATTTTCTGAGAATTCTGAACTAAATGCATCTGTAAGTCATAAAAGATCCAACCATGGCTTATGGATATATGTATAATATACTGAATCATTATTTATATACTGTTTCCCAGTGGACATGTTCAGTGTTTCTCAATGTACTACTATAGCCAAATAATGCAATTAACAATACTGTTCTTTCAGATTATTTCCTTGGGTAGCACTCACATAGATGTAACTTCTAAGACAGAATATATTTTTAAAGCTCTTGTCTAAATGATTCTTATCTAAATTATCTAATAATTATCAAATATCTAAATGACAATTTTTCAGAGAGGCTTTGCTAATTTGTACATTCAACATCAGTGTATATGTGTGCTCATTTAATATTACTCTTTAAAACATTTACTTTCATATTATGTTAATTTTAATAATCTGTCAAAAATGTTACCTTGCTATTAACATTTCAGTGAAATTATTTTATTAATCATTTGTACTGCTATATAAACTGATTAATCACATATTTGCCCAAATACATATTCACAGAAACTTTAAGGAAAAAAAAAACAGAAAAGAAAAAAAAATATCTCATTACTACATGATTTATTTTGTATTTAAGTCTTTTACTAAAGTACAGATGTAATACTCAACTGTTTTTGTTGCTGTTAACTGCTGCTGCCAGTCTTAAGTTTTTGTTTTTATTTATTTTTTTTGAGAGAGAGAGAGAGAGCATGAGCACATGTGCAAGCAGAGGGAGGAGTAGAGGGAAAAAACGAACTCCCCGCTGAGCGCAAATCCTGATACTGGGGCTGGATCTCACAACTCTGAGATCATGACCTGAGCTGAAATCAAGACTGAGCCACCCAGGCACCCCACTGCTGCTGCCATTTTATGTTAAATATATTTTCAAGAAATTTAAATTAAACTTCTGAGCGTGTTCAGGAGGCCCGCCTAAGGAGGAATTCCTCCAGAAAAATTATTTTATCCAGTATAAGCGTATCTACAAAGAAAATGGTATTATTTACTTTTAAAGTTTCTTTCAGAAAGTAGTCACTTCTGAAGGAGACCCGAAACCTAACAAAGTATTTAAGTCCACTGACAGAGCCTATGCAATCGATCACCTATGACCCTGAGGATGAAGATTTTCCTTAGGACTTGAGTATTTATGCATATTTATTAATACCAAAGACATAGAGCATAATTTTATATTCTTAATATGGATTTACCTTCCTGTGATTAAAATATTTCAAATAATTTTTTTCAAGAAAGCTATATGGGAAGGTGTTTTCTGTACCACAATTTATGCAAGAATGTCTTTCATTCTTGAGTCTATCTGGTGGGTATTCTGTAAGTTGCATAGTTTGTAGAGTATTGTTATACTACTTTTGCTTAAATTAAAAAATCATTTTGTATATGATGTATCTGGGGAAAGGTCTAGAAGGAATAAATACCAAAGTTAAAAAGTGGTTACTTCTAGAGGCTAGAACTGGCAGGAAGTGAGGGAGAATGTAAAGAGGACTTCACTTTCAAGTCATACACAGCTGTAATATTTAAATGCTTTTTAAAAAGAATTTTATCACTTAAAAAATTAAACTATTAGCAGAGAAATAAAATCAAAATCTGGACACTGACTCACTGTCTGCCATTTAATATTATTTTTAAAAAAAGAAATCAAAGACCAGCTTTTTTGTTATTTTAATCTAGGAAATTGTGCAATTTTTTAAAATTATAATTCAAAATATCTGTCAATAATGTGTCTAAGATTAGGTCTCTTTTGGGAAGTATTACATGAGATTTTTAAGAAACTATATAAACAAGTCACTTTTTTAGTCTAGGAAAGTCATATTCTATTATTATGTCTTTACTACTTTTATTTCATTTTGCTCTTTGTTTCTTCCTTAGGCATATCTATCATTTCTTGTATAATGGCATAAGGGTAGCTATTTAAATATAAGTCACATAAATTGTTGAGATTCAGACACACTGAGCCTTATTTAGCAAGCTAGGCAAACCAGGGATTTCCTTGCTCATGTACCAAGGAACCTCTTAGGAAACAATCATCTGAGAAAAGAGCTAATCACGTATCAAGTCTCACTTAAAATATTAGCATTCAAAAAAAGCTACTGAATAAATGGACACATATATCCGTTACTCAAAACTGTCTCTTGGATTAGGCAGCCACAGATTTACTTGTTGGGGGGGGCTATTTTCAGTTAAAACTACTTAGGACGGCATTTTATAAATTATAACCAATGAAATATTGTATTCCAGGGTGTGTTGATAGCTTTTCCATTTCCATAAAAAAATCCACTTGAAATTTTGAGTATTCTGAATCTGTACAATGATTTGAAAGGAATCAAGGCTTCCTATCTAGGAACATGTTACATTTACAGTTGAACCTGTTGACTCAGATTTTCTTTTTCTGTTCTTTTTCTTCACAATGGTCTTGAAATTTTCTTTTTGGTTTATTCTTAACTACTTATTCATTTTTAAATATCTACCAAATGTACAACCTTTATCTCATATTTTCTTATTGTTTATTGTTGATATATAGAAAAACAGTAGAAAGTTCTTCCTCAATCAGGCAGTTTCTAAATTTACTACTTTTTCAACAGTTTGCCAAGTTAATTCTATTGTGTTCCCAATCATTACTCTTAATTTCTTTTTCCTGTCATTATTTTATTGCTAAGACTACCACCAAAACTCTAAATAGCAGCATAGATAATAGACATCTTTGTCCTAGTCGCAACTTCAATAGAAATACTTCCATGATCCACTAGTAAATATGATATGGGTTATAATCTGAACAGAGTTCCTTATAATTTTAGGCTTTCTACTTCCTTACTAAATAAAATGGACATAATAGGTATAAGGTTGTGTATAATAATGTCCTCTTACTTAAAGAATCTCCTCTGGATCTCTGTCTCCTTTTTGAATCCTTATGTAGCTTATTTGTACTCATTATTTATAAATAAAAAATTAATCTATTTTTAAAGTCTTCACAAAAGAATAAGGTTTTGTCTTCATTGCTCAATATTCAAAAAGGGTTGGGTTTTTTACATTTTATTAATTTATTAACTCTTTCTGCCTTCTGGGAGTTTAGTCTGTAATTGTTTTTTCCTAGCACAGGACATGAACACATAATGTTCTGTTTTCCTGTTCAGTAGTAATGAATTTAAAATTGTAAAATTCCCTTTGAATACTGCTGTGTCTTTCACTTACAGGTTTCGATATGTAGTACTTTAATTACATTTCTGATCTAAAGAGTGGAGAATTGGGGCACCTGGGTGGCTCAGTTGGTTAAGCAACTGCCTTTGGCTCAGGTCATGATCCTGGAGTCCCAGGGTTGAATCCCATATCAGGCTCCCTGCTGAGCAGGGAGTCTACCTCTCCCTCTGACCCTCCCCCTTCTCGCACTCTCTCTCTCAAATAAATAAAATCTTAAAAAAAAAATAAAGAGCAGAGAATTTCCATTTTTACTTCCTCTTTGCAATTATCTGGAAGTATGTTTGGCAGGTGGTTATGGTCTGGGAGGGGTAGAAAAGCTAAATATTTGTTGATAATTTCTCTTTTTATTACACATTTGCTACTGACTCCACAGCAAATGACAACTATCTGCATTTTAAGACGTTCTTCTAAGTTACTATAATGCTCATCTTGACAGAGCATCAAAGATATATAAATCTAAAAATTATACGACATTTTACACTTAAAAAATAATTAAAATCGGGGTGCCTGGGCAGCTCAGTTCGTTAAGCGGCTGCCTTCAGCTCGGGTCATGATCCCAGGGTCCTGGGAT